TCCTACAGAGTGGACATCAGGAGCTTTGCTGAACCAAAGACTCAGCACGGAATGGTTACGATGGCAATCATGCCATGTTACTTTATCACAAATGTCAATGTAAGTCAAGGAATGATCATAGTAATTAATAATCAATGCAAGTAGTAATAATTGGTAGATGATGAGTAAGGAATCAAGACAACTAGTAATTATGATTCTAACCCAGTGCCTTTGTCCTCTGATACCTCCCCAGGTGCATTTCAGGAGTTGGTTCATACCTGTACCTCTCCTTTTGAACCAATGGAGCCTGCCGAGTATCAAATTACTGCCATTGTTGTAGGCACCCAGCCAAATCTCTACCACACACTCACCTAAGGAGACATCTACCAGTTCACAGGTTTGTGCATGATCAAATAAGTCTCTGGAGACAACTGGAGTATTCCCATTCACAAAAGAGGATTTCCCCGCTGAGACTCGTGCAGGAGCAGCAGAACCCAGGACAGGGCTCTGGGGGTGAAGGGCACACAATGGAAGGGCACAGCACAGACTTGCTGACTGTGTAACAGTATGCCTGAGTCTGGGTGATTTATAACAAAGAGAAGTCTGGTTCATGGCTCTGGAGGCTGAGGAGCCTCCCTATCGAAGGGCCGCACGTTTGAGGGCCTTCTTGCTGCACCAGAACATGGCAGAAGGCATCACACCAGTGAGGACGGAGCTGGAACCCACAGCCTGTGGCAGGTGGGTGGAGCCCTCTCATGAGGCCCAACCTCCCAGCACCGCGGCCCAGGGTGCTAATGCTCCAACATGTTGGGGACAAAGTCAAACCACAGCAGCAATGCGGCTGAGTTCAGTAGAACTCTGCTTAGTCCACTCATCTGGCACTTGCCCTGAACAAGACGAGAATGAGCTCCTGCCACTCCAGCCTGCCATGGGATGCCCAGCTAAGAACAGGACCGGAAGCCCCCTATGCCGGCTCCCTGGATGTGCCGCTGTCCTGGACACACCGTTCCTGCAGTGGGAAGGAGCGGACTCCTGGAGGAAGGGCGGTGCTCAGGGCTCTGGGCACTGCTGAGGGAGAAGCCATGGTCTGGATGATGGAAGTTTCATATTGCTAAGGCGTGGTCTCCTGGGCGGCAGGACCAGAAGGTGGTGTGGGCCTCATACAAGGCTCCTAGGGCATTGTGGGCACTCAAGACGGATGTGTCTCCCCTGCTTCCCCCACCACGCCCTGCCGTACCTCTCTCCTTCCTGGATAGGATGTGCTCAGCTGTATCTCCAGCTCTGACCAAACCCAAGGAGCCATCCCATCCTGGACAACCTTGGGCCAGAGCCATGAGCCAAAACAAACCTCTGGTCACTTCAGAAGTCACCTGCCTTGGGTATTTTGTTACAGTGATTCAAGGGGGGAAAAAAATCCACACCAACCAAACTGCCCTCTGCGATCTTCTCCCAGAGCCTCAATCCTTCCAAGATGGTAACCAGTGTGACCTCACTGCTGGCCACAGGGAGCTAAGTAGATAGACAGTTAATTGATGAATGACTGATAAGTTATAGATAATTGATTGGATGGTAGATAATTGATAGATGATAGGTAGATGGATAATTTTTCTCCTTCACGTACCTCTAATGGCTCCTTCCTTTCACCAATACCTGACTGGTGGGTGTGGGAAACTCTACCCATCCTTTCTGGGGCTGAGCTGCTACACTGTGCCGCTTACTTCACATGCTCTCTCCAGATGTACTCACTCAGCGTCTCTACTGAAGCTAATGATGCCTGTGGCTTGGGAAGGGATGGCAGGTCCACTGTGTGGCAGGTGAGCAAAGCCCCTTCCGTCCACACTTAGTGCCCCCAAATACAGCTTCCCCAGGGTGAGAGAGGGCAGGAGCCCCAGATCCACTCAGTCTACCTCCCCCACGGCCAGGGCATCCGGGAGGAATACTGAGAAGCCAGCATCCAGCCTGCTCGCAGATGAAAACCAAGGAATGACCACCCAATGCAGCCAAGATGGCGGGCCAATGGGGCCTTCAGAAATCACCGTTGCTATTCATGTAACACACACACACATGTGAATATACACTCATGTGCTCACATGCACACCTAATACCTTTTATGTAGAAATGAAAACTCCAAACCTTTGTAAGGTACCAGGCAAGATGGAGGTTCCTAGACCTGAATGACACCATCCCTCAGAAACCTCCATTATGACCCAGTGCTGGGCTGGGCTAGGGCTGCAGAGGGCGAGCCAGGATACCCTGCTACTAAAACCCAGGCCACTGAAGCAAGGCCGGGGGCGTGTCGCACAGACTAAAATGGCTTCGGTTTTGCATCAGCTCCTTTGCTCCATGTGCCCGGGGTTTACGATTTAGACTTTCTATTAAATGTAGAGTGTTATAACAAGTGGTCCTGGTGATCAAACGTGTAAACTTACCTATATGAACAGGAAAGTGGGGCTGGGAAGGTGGCTCAGTGGTAGAGTGCTTGCCTTGCATGCATGAGGCCCTGGGTTCGATTCCTCAGCACCACATAAGCAATAAGCCGGAAGTGGCGCTGTGGCTCAAGTGGTAGAGTGCTAGCTTTGAGCTGAAGAGCTGAGGGACAGCGCCCAGGCCCTGAGTTCAGGCCCCACAACCGGACCCAAAAAAAAAAAAAAAAGAACAGGAAAGTGGCTGTGTTATTCAACCCAGTAGAACTATGTCTTTCATATTCAAGTGTTTCATGGCTGTTGTTTAGTTCGTTTGTGTGTGTATGCATGTGTGTATGTGCATACCAGTTCGGGGACTTGAACCCAGGGCTTTTTACTTGGCTTTTTTTGTTCAAAGCTGGTGCTCTATCGCTTGAACCACATCTCTACTTCCAGATTTTTTTTTCTGGCTAATTGGAAATAAAGAGTTTCTCAGGCTTTTCTGCCTGAGCTAACTTTGATCCTTAATTCTCAGATCTCAGCCTCCTGAATAGCTAGGACTATAGGTATAAGGTACCTGCATCCTACTCAAACTCATGTTTTAATTCTCTGCTGCCATCCTTATAGGTGGACACTATCAAACCCTGTCAACTGATCTGCTTTTTGTTTTGGGGACTTTGGGGTTTGTTTGGGTTTTTGTTTGTTTGTGTTTTTGGTTATGGGGCTGGAACTCAGGGCCTGAGTACCATTCCTGAGCTTTTTTTGCTCAAGGCTAGCACTCCACCACTTTGAGCTATAGCTTCACTTCTGGATTTGGGTGGTTAATTGGAGATAAGTCTCATGGACTTTCCTGCCTAGGCTGGCTTCGAACAACCAGCATCAGATCTCAGCCCCTACAGCAGCTAGGCCTACAGGTCTGACCCACTGGTGCCTGCTATGCTCTGAGATTCCTAAACAATTTCTTTATTCTCAGGTTCACTTTTCTGTAATTACCAGCACAGCTTGTCTTGCTTGAGACTGTTCACATAGCCATAGACACACATGGCCTTGACCCTCACAGGGCTTCTCCAGAGAAAGAAGTCTTTCCCACCCAGTCAGCTTGAGACTCTGTAATTGTCTGATTGATCCCTTGCAACATAAGGCTGGTTGGACTTAAGAATGTTCTGGGTGTCCGAGGGACCATGGACAGGAGATACACTGCTCTATGTGAATAAATCAGAAGATGGGTGGGGAGTGGAGATGGGTTAAGTGAGTAGTCACCTCACCTTCAGGAAAAGACAGCCAACAGTCTACTGCTGCTAGGATTGATCCAATGTAAGTCCAAAGCTTCAGACCTCTCTGTCATATCAGGAGACAGTAGGGTCAGCAGCTTCCTCCAACGCTGCCCCTAAGCCCACACCCAGTGTGCAGGGAAGGCTGGTGGATCCTTCAATGAGCATGTGCATCCCTCCCCAACTCCTCCAGAAGCCCTCTGAAAGCAAGCCTCTCGAGTTCCCTATGACTCTCCATCCTTTCTCCAGACACTCAATAAAGAATCACTCATTGATTTATTTCTCATCTTCACCGAAGGCATGGGAGAGAAACAGCAAAAAAGGGGGGGGGGGAAGGCATTAAAACATTTTTGTACTGCCAATGATCAGTTGAGAAATTAAAGCTGTGGGGAAAACATCTCACAGGCCTAAAGGTCACCCCAATAAAGACCCAAGTGTGTGTGGAAACAGGAGGTGCTTCTTGGGCACAGGGGCCCCCATCCACCAGCGTTCAGCGGCTTCCACATCAAGGTTAATCAAACCGGCTTTCTTTGTCTCCCACCGCCACAGCGTGAGGAGCCTGGGTTTCAGATGTGAGCCGTTTTCCCCCTTTCTTTCCTTTTTTTTTTTTTTTACTCTTTGGACGGAATCCACTCAGACCCGGCTCCCCAGGGCACCCCCACAGGGCAGAGGGGGGCGCTTGGGGACGCCCCGGCTGAGACACTTAGTGGAACTCTGCCCCCTACCCGGGTCGTTTAGGAGCCTGGGTCTCCCCGGGGTGACTCCACAGCCCGGCGCTGGGCGGAGTGAAGCAGGGTGGAGGGCGGTGAGCGCCCGGGGAGGCGCTGGCCGTGGTCCTGACCCGGGCGCTCAGGACCCGGCGCCAGGAAAGCGCCCGCCCGGCGAAGGAAGGTGGGAGGGAGGGGTGCGACCCCCGCGGCCCCTCCCGACCCCCGGAGGCCGCCACGCCGCCTCCAAGAAAAAAAGGGTGGGGCAGCCGGCCGCAGCTGCGAGGGAAGAAGAATGGAGCCGCCGTGCGCCCCGCACGCGCCGCGCCACGCCACGCCTGCGGTGCGGGCTCCGCGGCTCCGGCCCGCCCGCGCCCCGCGCCCCGGGGCCGTCTTTGTGGGCGCCCCGCCGCCGCCGCCCGCCGCACCCCGCGCGGGGAAGGGGCGCAGGGCGGGGCGCGCGTGCAGATGCGTGGAGGGGGCGCGCGCGAGGCGGGGCGTGCGGGCCGGTGCGCCGGGGAGGGGCTCGGGGCTCCGCCGACCCGGAACGAAGGGGACCCGGGGAGGGGCGGCCCCCCGCGCCCGGCCCCGCGCTGCATCCCACCTCCCCACGCCCTCCCCCCCCCCCGCCCCGCACCAACCTGGTCGTAGACGTTCTGCAGGGCTTCCTTGCCCGAGGCCCGCCGGATCTCCACCTTCCGGCCGGATTCAACAGATGGCTCCCCGCCGGCGCGCCGGCCCTGCCGGGAGAACGGCGTCTGCGGGTCGGGGCCCAAGTGGGCGACGTCCCGCTGCTGGGCCACCACCTGCCCCGAGCCCCGGCCCACCGACAGCGAGTCGAAGTCGATGGTCTTGTTCTCCGAGGACCCCTCCACCGGGCAGAACATGCCGCAGAATTTCTGCCGGGGCTTGGGGCTGCCCGAGCCCAGGTTCTTAAAAAAGGCAGGGACCTCCTCGTCCTCGGCCGCCTTCCCGGACGGCTTCCGCTCGGCCATGGTGCGCGGGGGGCTCGGGGAGGGTCCTCTCGTCCGTCCGTCCGTCCGTCCGCGGCGCGCACCAGCCCCTCGCCGCTCCCTGCCTGGCGCAAGGTGTGCAGAGAAGAAGGCGAGCAGGCGAGCCGGCGACCCGCCCGGTCCCTCCCCCTGACCCGCGCCCGCCCGCCCTGCCCACGCCCCCCGCGCCGCCCCGCGCGAGCTCCGGCGGCGAGCGGCAAAGTTGGGTCCGGGCGCACGGCCGCTGCGGCAGCGCGAGCGAGCGGAGGACGGCGGTTCCCGGCAGCGCGGGGCGGGGCGCGGCGGGGCGGGGCGCGGCGCGGCGGGCGGGGGAGGGGCGCGGCGGGCGGAGGGGAGCGAGCCGAGCGCCGCGTGCCCGGAGCCCGCGCTCCGGAAGTGAAGCGGCCGGACCCCCTGCTCACGGATGCGCGCCGCGGGTCTGCGGACCGACCTCGGGGCCAGGGTGAGTGTGGGGCCGGCGCGGGGCGCGAGGAGCCCGGGGCACCGGCCCCTGACTCTGCGCCCCGGCGCCTCTCCCGCCGCATTGCGGCCCCGGGGTGAGGTCGCCCCGTGCGAGGGGCGCCGGGTCGCTCAGCTCGGGTGTCAGCCGACGGCGGCACAGGGGATCGAGTCCCGGGCCCCGCGGACCCCCGGCGGAGGGCGGGGGAGGGCGCGGCGTGCTGCGGGGGTCCGCGGGGCCCTGGGGAGCGCCTCGGAGGGCCGTCGAGGTTCGTGCATCACCGTGGGGGGGGGGGGACGCACAGCATGGCGGGGAGAGATGCGGAGGGGCGCGGCGGGTGGGAGAGAGGGGAGGGCGGGGAGCCCCTCTGGACGACGGGGGTGCAGCACGGAGTGCGGATTCCAGGCCCCTACGACCGTTCAGGCGCAGACCCGCCGGGCTGCCTGCGGACTCCACGCCCCGCAGCTGCGCCACTGCGCCAAGCAAGGCCGCAAGCTGGTATCTTTCTGCACCGCACGCACACGTACACGCACACGCACACGCACGCACATTGGAAGAACCCGGCCGAAGCCCCCTCCCGAAGCCTCCAGCCCGCCCGGCCCCGCGGCGCCCCGCCCAGGCCCCCCGCCCGCATTGCGCACTGCGGTGCCGGCCTGGCGCGCAGAGGGAGCGGGCAGCCCCCGGGCGAGCGAGGCAGGAGGTAGGTCGAGATTGGGGGCGAGGGGTGGGGAGAGGACCCCGAATTGTGTGAAGATTTGGGGCGTACGCAGGGATCGTCTGGCCAGGGCCTGGGTTAGTGGCAATCTGGGCGGGCGTAAAACCCTCTGCGGGGGCCCTTCCCTGCTGATTCCAGGCTCCTGGCCTGTTCCACGTCGCGTCCTCTGCTGCATCGGGTCGCTTTCTGCCCCGCCTGTCTTCCCACAGTGGCAGAAACCGGCAGAAATGGTGTCCATCTTCCGGCTGCTTACTGGGCATGCTCAGTAAGTCGGGGTGGGCGTGGGCTGGAGAGGCCCTCAGCCGCAGGGAGGTGGCACGGGCCCCCTCCGCTCCGGGGTGCGCCCGGGGTGCGCACAGGACGGAGCCCAGGAGGAGAAGGCGCCAGAGGGGACACCTGCGCTGGGAAGAGAACCTGAGTAGGGCTTTGGGGACCTAGCACCGGTGTGTTCTCTGTGAATAAAGTGCTTCCTTGTGAATCACAGCAGCTCCTAGACAGAGAGCCAAGTGCCTTCTTGGATGGGATATGGGTTAGAGAGAATGGGGACCCTGTGCCCAAGGCTGATGCCTCCAGCCGTCCCAGCGCCGTCTTCAGCTTCACGGCCAGACTATCCTCTGTGTGAAAAAAGTCCTTCTATTTCTCCATATCCAAATATTTCCAAGGCGGCCCTGTAGTACATCAAGGTGCTTTTCCTCTGTGACTCTGTGTGTGAGAGTGGCGTTAACAGGTAAGATTGCCTTTGGGAAAGAGCCCTGGAAAGCCAGCCTCGCTGCAGAAGAGCAGCCTCTGCACCTCGCTCTTCCTGGACATTCAATCTATCTAAGTACCCTAATGGAGGGGGAAGTCACCCCCATATGGTGGAAGGAGAACTAGAGAAGTGGCAGGGATGGGGGGTCGGGCAGCATTTTCCTCTACTTGCTTTCACAGAGGGCTGTGGCTGTCAGTGACTCCCAGAAAGACTTTGGAGCTGCACCCACAGCAGGAGCAACTGTTGTGGTGGCCACAGGGTGGCATCTGTGGCATTAGGTTCTTTCACATGGATGGAGATGGTCAGACCAAGGAGAAGATCATTGTAGTCTCCTAACACACCCAGCACAAAAGTCACTGGGAGGGATGATCACACCGACCCATGACATTCCAGTCAACAGCATGGCCTGCATTCCACATGGGTCCCCCAGGAGGACCTAGTGTGGTTCTGTCAGTCCTAGCCATCCGAGCTTCCTGTCCCGCACAGTGATGTTTCAGGATGAGGAAGTCACCTGGGGCAGACCATGCTCTACCGGGGATCTGCATCTACATCCTCCCGTCTCCCAACCACTCCAGAACCAGGAGTTCTGCCTTTTTCCTCCTCCCATGACCTCTGCTCAGTCAGGTGCCAGGGAAAAAGTACCTTTCCTTCTTCACCAAAGAAACATGCCACTTACAAAAATCTCACTAAACAGAAGAGACTGGACTTAAAACACCAAATTTAACTCATCTAGTCCCAAGATTTTTTTTTACTTTCATTATTTTTGTGTGTGTTGGTTGTAGGGCTTGAACTCAGGACCTGGGCACTGTCCCTGAGCTCTTTGCTCAAGGCTAGTGCTCTACCACTTTGAGCCACAGCACCAATTCTGGTTTTCTGGTGATTAATTGGAGATAAGAGACTCACAGACTTTCCTGCCCATGCTGGCTTTGAAACACAATCCCAGATCTCAGTTCCTGAATAGTTAGGATTACAGGTGTGAGCCATCAGCACTAGTGATTTTATTTTTCCTCTTGCCTATATTAAATGTTTGAGTGATTCTCAGTTGAATCTTTGTCTTTGATTATATTTTTGTGTGAGACAGGGTCTCCCTTTGTAGGCTAGGCTTCCATTGAGCTCAGTCTTCCTGCTTCAGCCTCCCAAGGGCTGGACCTGGCTCAGTTTTTTGTCTTTTTAATATGTGTTGGTCCTGGGACTTGAACTCAAGGCCTGGGCACTGTCCCTGAGCTTTTTAGCTCAAGGCTAGCCACTCTATTACTTGAGCCACCAGTTCACTCCTGACTTTTTTTTGTGGTTAATTGGAGGTAAGAGTCTCACAGACTTTCCTGCCTGAGCAGGCTTTGAGCCATGATCCACAGACCTCAACCTCCTGAGTAGCTAAGATTATAGATGTGAGCCAGATTCCAGATGTCTTTTATTTTTGTTTTTTGCCAGTTCTGGGGCTTGAATTGTGGGCCTGGGCCCTGTTCCTAAGCTTCTTTGTGCTCAAGGCTTAGTGCTCTACCACCTGAGCCACAGTGACACTCCCAGCCTTTTCTGAGTAGTTTACTGGACATAATGAGTCTCATGGACTTTCCTGCCCCGGCTGGCTTCAGACCACAATCCTCAGATCTCAGCCTTGAGTAGATAGGATTACAGGCATAAGCCACCAGTACCCAGGTTAGACATACTTTTGAATAAGTCGGTTTGCAATGCTGGGTGATAGTTGAGCATGAAAATGTGTTTTCTTATTTATACACAGCAGGACTGCGTGGCGTGGCTGAGTTTAGACCACACACACCCCCTGTGTGGAGGTGGGGGACCTCTTCCTGAGCTAGAAGCTGAACGGAAGCTCCTTGGCTCTCACAGAGCATTCTGGAACATATAAAGAGGTATTTGGCTCTGATTTCTTCTTTCCCGCAACTGGGGATTAAAGACATTAGTCAAGTGTCTGATGAGCCTGTGGTATGGAAACTACGTGGCAGTGGGGTTCGTGGGAGAAAACGGGTCATAGTAAGCAAACAAGGCCAGTCTGTCAAGTGGAGTGGACAAACCAGCCCCAGAACAAGCGGACTGCAGGGCTCCGGCCCTGACACCCTGCCTTGGGGAAGGTCTAGGAGATGCTGGGGCTGGGTTCCTCTATGTTTCGCAGGGATTGAACCACTGACACCCGTGATCCTTGTAGCGTGCAGGGGAGCCGGGATTCGGGGGCGATGGCCGTGGCGCTGCTGGAGGGCTGGTGCAGGATCATGAACGTGGATGACCAGAAGGCGCTGATGGTGACGGGCGTGCCCGTGGACTGTGAGGAGGCCGAGGTCCAGGGCGTGCTGCAGGAGGCCTTCAAGGCACTGGGCGGGTACCGACTGCTGGGCAAGATCTTCCGCAAGCAGGAGAACGCCAACGCCGTCCTGTTGGAGCTGCTGGAGCCCACCGATGTGTCCGCCATCCCCACCGAGGTGCAGGCCAAGGGGGGTGTCTGGAAGGTGATCTTCAAGACCCCCAACCAGGACACGGAGTTTCTGGAGAGACTGAACCTGTTTCTGGAGAAGGAGGGACAGACGGTGTCCGGCATGTTCCGGGCCCTGGGACAGGAAGGGCTGTCGCCGGCCACCGTGCCCTGCATCTCGCCCGAGCTGCTGGCGCATCTGGTGGGGCAGGCGGTGGCCCACGCCCCGCAGCCCCTGCTGCCCATGAGGTACCGCAAGCTGCGGGTGTTCTCGGGCAGCCCGGCGCCCGCGCCGGAGGAGGAGCCCTTCGAGGTGTGGCTGGAGCAGGCCACGGAGATCGTCAAGGAGTGGCCGGTGGCCGAGGCGGAGAAGAAGAGGTGGTTGATGGAGAGCCTGCGCGGGCCGGCGCTGGACCTCATGCGCATCCTGCAGGCCGACAGCCCGGCCGGTGGCGTGGAGGAGTGCCTGGAGGCCTTCAAGCAGGTGTTCGGCAGCCTGGAGAGCCGCCGCACCTCGCAGGTGAGGTACCTGAAGACCTATCAGGAGGAAGGGGAGAAGGTCTCGGCCTACGTGCTCCGGCTGGAGACCCTGCTCCGGAGGGCGGTGGAGAAGCGGGCCATCTCCCGGAGCATCGTGGACCAGGTGCGCCTGGAGCAGGTGATGGCCGGCGCCAGCCTGAGCGGGGCCCTGTGGTGCCGGCTCCGGGAGCTGCAGGAGCAGGGGCCCCCGCCCAGCTTCCTGCAGCTGGTGAAGGTGATCCGGGAGGAGGAGGAGGAGGAGGCCACCTTTGAGAGTGAGAACGCGCCTCCGCCGGAGCGGGAGGAGAGGGATGGACGCGGCCGCTGGGAGAACAAGGTGGACCACTGAGAATCCTGACCAGGCAGCAGCGGGTCAGGCGGACTTGACCAGGCCTCGACCATACGAAGGGTTGAAAGCAAGGCGTTAGAGCTAGTCTTCTTTTTTATTTTTAAACAAGGTGAAACAAGGTCTCACCCCAGAGCCCAGGCCAGCCTCCAACTCCACAATCCTCCCGCCTCGGTCTCCTGAGTGCTGAGATTCTGTGTAGGCATCATCACAAAAGCCAGTACAGGCTACACGCCTGTAATCCCAGCTACTCGAGAGGCAGAATCGGGAGGATTGTGAATACCAAGGAACAAAATACAAACAGATGCCAGGGTGTAGGTCCTAGGGCGCGACGCCGACATACTCCGTGCATCCCCAGTTGTGGGAGAAAGATCCTAATAGATTGTTAATAAATAAAAGATTAAATCCCAGATAGGAAGTATGAGCCCAAAGACATACAAAACAACCGTACCTCCAGTTTCTTTTAATTTCCCCAATTCAACTAAGTTTACCTGGACCTAGGGGAAGAATTGACTTGGGGGTTGGGTGGGGGGGAACGCCAGCATTTGGGATTAGGTTGGAAGATGACATGGCTCAGCTTGTGTGTATTGAGGGGAGGGGGTCCTGTCTCAAATGGACATCCGATGAGTCCTGTGCATGGCGGGGATGTGGGAGGGGCCTTGGGTCCCCAGCTGCCCCCCATCTCCAGTTAAGCATCTTACAACAAATGAGCCGTGTCATCTGAGAGTTTCCAGCCAGCCTGGACAGAAGTCAGCTGAATATCCGGATGTAGATGAATTCATACCCCAGTAGGAGGGCACACTGATCAGCCATCTCTGCCGTTAGGGTTCTTTCTTCTCTGGAATAGGAAGTGGGTACTCCTTCTACTTTTCCGCTAGACGCCTAGTAGATGGTTCCAGAACCATCTGCCATGTTGGGCCCTGAAGACACACATGACTCATTCAAAGCCTGTTTTCTGGAGATCCACAAGCTCAAAGAAAAGGTGGACTTTCAAAGATGCTGCCTAGGAACAGGCATGCGTGAGTTCCAGATAGGCTGAACTCGTTCCAAAGAAAGGCTTTTCATGGCAACCAAGCATGAAGAGAAGAGGAAAGCACTTCACGGTATACTTGTGTCAGACAGGGCATTCAGAGACATCCCCTCAGTGCGACTACGGAGGACTCCATTTTGTGCTTCATAAAGAGAAACAACTTCAGACATCAAAGTACAACGAAGTGGTTGGTACATCCTAGCCCAAAGCCCGGAATTCCGACCCAGCCGAATGCATGCTCTACCATCTTGGCTTTCAGATTGTGTTCCCCATTTTGTGGAAACTTTTCCCACAGTCTCGTCTTCAGAATGTATTTCAAACTTTTCCATCTTCTATGTAATAAATAACTACCAAGTGGACCAGGTGTGTTGATGACACATTTCAGCATGGTGACATTCACCCACGGTTTTCTTGTATTTGCAGATTGACCCATTTGGGGCACATGTAGGAGCACAGCTGGGGTCTGTGCTCATATCCAAATGTGCTGTCACTGCGTGTAGACCTGCACAGCTGTAGAGCATCTTGAGTGTCTAAATAGGCCTGTGTACACCAGGTCAGTGCACGAGGACAGCACAAGTGAACATCATTTGGTTTCCTGCTAGGCAAACAGCTGATACACTTGGCAGCCAGCCTCTGGTAGATGTGTGCATAGGCACACGTACAAGTTGCTTCATTTCTTTAAATATCCGTTTCCTCGTCTGAAAATAGGTTATCTTAGGATCAAATAACACAATGCCTTTTAAGCGCTTCAAGTGATGTGTGGAATTTAGAAAACCCTTCCTACCCTGAGCCTCTTGCAAATTTTGTGATGCTGATTTTCAGATTAGCGCATGCTGCCATTGTTATTCTTGGAGTTGTACAGAAACAAGCAGGGTGAACAGCTTCGCACCGCAGCCACTTCCGCTCATCGTGAAAAGAAATGTGTTTGTCATCTTTTATATTTGTGATAACTATTCCAGCAAGTGTGGATAGTTGTTCGAGACTTGACTTGAAATTGGTAAATTATTCTTTCCAATGGTGGATTCACTGAACTGAAGACTATCCCAAGAGTGTAAGAAAGGCACTTGTTTTTTAAAGAAAAGGTATTTGTGATCATTTATCCTCTTCAAGTGTGTTTCTCAATATTACTCAACAATATTTGACTGGTGTGACTCACCAAGATTTACATACATATTTTGCAGTGATTCTGTGTGGTTTTTGTATTTGTGGACATGGCCCCATTGCTGTCATTTATTTAAAATCTACAAGATAAAATGTTACTGATGTGAAGTGATAAAATAAATCCATGCTAATGAACTATTTTGGGTTTGTTTTTCTGTACGATGGTGTTGCTGGAAGAAGCTTCACTAAATTAAAAGAGAGACAGAGAGAGAGATCCTTGTAGGAATCGAGCTAAAGCTAAAAGGTCTAGGCTGGAAAACTTGAGAGCCAGGAGCTAGCATAGAAGTCCTGGGTCATGTCTCCCGGGATGGCAGCTTGTTCCGCCCATGGCTGACCTCCCTTTGCAGGGACAGATGGAGGCCAGCCCCTCTGAGACCACCAGCTCACTCTCTCAGAGAAGTAGCCGACTGCATGTATTGCCCAGCCTCTATTCTGCCACGCTTGCAAGATATTCACAAGATCCACACTTTCTCCTACAGATATGGAGGGAGAAAGTTCCCCTGGCCTTTTGAAATTCCCCTTGCATCATGAAAGTGCTTCTTCTCTTGTTTAAAGAGCAGTGGAGAGTGTTTCCCGCTGGGCCAGGCAGTACTGCAGACCAGCCTGCTAGAGCTGAACGTCCTGGAGGATACACAGGCCCATCCCTCAGCCCTGTGAGCAAAACCCTCCCAGAAAGTATACTTTGTGGGTCTCCTGACCCCCAGAGACTCAGCTCTTCAAGAGGTGCAAACCACTGCTGGCAACGACTTTCCTCTAGGAGGCTCTGGGGCAAACGGTAGGCCAGGCCATCAGCCTCCCGCCTCTGCAGGCCCTCTGTGTTACCAACATCCACACTTGCACTGGTCATTCCCCCCTTGATCCTGTTGGCTTCCAGCCCAGGTAAGATGGTCGGTGGTCCTCTGCCGAAGCTCATTCCAGAGGAGTGCTGGGCTGGTAGAGGGAGTTTGGGATGTTGCCTATCTCCTAGGCTCGCAAAGCAGCCAGGACTATCTGTCTTGACTGAGCGCCTGGTCCCCTCCTCCTCCACTGAACTCCAGGTGTCGTGCAGCCCTTGGAACCTCTTCATAGGACACTACTCTGTCTCTTCCACTTTAGAAAGGAAGGAAGAAGCATTTCGTGTGTGTGTGTGTGTTGGTACCGGGACTTGAACTCAGGGCCTTGTGTTCTTGCTTGGTTATTTTGCTCAAGGCTAGTGCTCTTCCACACCTCCCCTTTCAGCATTTTGCTGGTTAATTGGAAATAAACATCTCATAGACTTTTGTGCCTGGACTGGCTTTAAACCATGATCCTTATTACTCCTGAGTAGCCAGGATTACAGGCATGAGCCCCTGGTGCCTGGCTTACGAGGCTCACCATTCTGTTTCCATGTGCAAATGCACTTGTTCTTTGCTGGCATGCAGATACTGCCCAGCTAGCTCCACCTCTTACTGGGGGGGAGGGGGTCTTACCAAGCCTGGACAAGAACAGCACCCCGAGCAATGACAAAGCAGGCTCACGCAGAGAACCAGCACTTAGGCCAGACTGGATGTTATGTAAAGCACCGAAGAGCAAAAGGAAGAGACAATGGACATCAGCTACATCCTAGGGTAGTCAGCCAGCCTGGGAGAACACAGGAGTTTAGAAGCTGGGGGTTTGACAGAGCCTGAAATGAAACAGAGGTGAAGAGAGAGAATCCAGGACAAATAGAAGATACACAATCATCTGCAGAATCTGAAGGCAATCTAATGACTGGGGCTCCAGGGCAGGGCCCAGCTGGTCTGACAGTGAGTCTGCACAGGGAAGCGGTAGGCTCTTGGAGATGCTTCCTTAGAGAAAAGCATGGTGGATTTGTGAGAAGCAGGACTTCCTACCTGACCAGGGCAGGGAGTTGCCCTGGCTCAGCCCTGCTTGGCACTTTCCCCCCCACCCCCCGCATGCCCACCTGCTCCTCAGCATCTCAGATGGACAGTTTCTTAAGATGACACTCAAGACATGTTGGCCAAGATCAATTTTCTCATAAGGAAAATGGTGTAGGATTTCAGCCCCTCCTTCGGCATGCCAGCTAGACCCGCCCACTTGTTATGGCTGCTTTAAGCAGCAGCTGAGGCAGTTCCATATCTGCCCCACCCCCACCCCTCCTTAAAGGAAAGGTTCCCAGAGGGCAGGTGTGTCCATGATGCTGAGGATCGCAGCGCAAGGGTTTTTCTCGTTTCCTTTTGGGTACAGATGTCCGTGTTCCAGCATGACTTGTTGACACTATCATTTCTCCACTGATTCTCATCTTTCTCAAAAACTAACTATGGTTGACTACACATCTGGGTGTGTGTGCATGCATGTTTGTGTGCCTGCACGCATGTGCGTGTGCGTGCACGGATGTTTGTGCGTGCACGTGTGTGTGCATGCACACACACATGTTCCGTATTCTGTCTCATGGATCTTTTTGCCTACAATACCACGAATGGCCACCGTAATAGAATAAACCATGATCATGGTTCTTCTGTTTAAAAGTTGTTTTCTAAAGTCCCATATGATTTTCAGACCCACTGTTCAGCATCTACCAAGACTGGAGGACTCTTGCTGCGATTTACCTCTCACCATTCCAGAGCCCAGGACAGCGTGAAGCAGGTGGCGGCAGGGTTGGCTTCTCCTCAGGCCAGTCTCCACTCCTGCTTGCAGACTCAGCACCCCTCTACATGGGCGGAAAGCTCATCCCTGCTGAAATGGGGTCTGGAGGTGGGCGTTTGGGGAAGCCATGAGGTCATAAAGGTGGATCTCCCTTGCATGAATTAGTCCCAATAATAACAATAATAATATAAAAGCACAGAGAGCTCCCTGAGCCCGACTGCCATCTGAGACACAGCCACAACCATCAGCTACGAGCCAGAAATCCCGTCCTTGTGAACAGTCTGTTGGCACTGGGCTGCAAAGTCACTTGGACTTTGGAGCCTCTAGATGTCAAGAAAGAAATGTGTGTTGTCTATAATCCAGCTAATTTACTAAGAGCCACCTTCTCCCTCTGTCTGCACCAGCGCTTCCTCGTGCTGATTCAGCCCTGGTGTCACTGTGTGTCCACAGCCCAGCGTGGCCCACGGCAGAAATCCACCCACCTGCTGCCCACCGCGGAGCAAGAAAAGGCAGGGCG